ACGTAGCAATATCAATGCACAGTAATCTACCACGCAGCTATTATCAACAAATACTAATCTAACAAGCAACCATATCAACATACGACAATGTGGCGCATAAGCACGCGTCAATCTAAAATTGTCCCTCATCTTCTAGTTACGCCAATGAGCGATGGCTAAATAATAGAGAAATAATCGCATCCCGCGCGATGTTTATTATACCAGTCAGAAATACCTGGATCCTGTAATCGGCGCGATTAAACTTTGAATGGCATTTATATGATAGCCGACTGAAACGTTCGATGGTGGTTGAAGTTTAACAACGATTACAGCCGGCATTTATTGCCGTCCGTGAAACGTTTGGTATTTCTGTCGAACCATCAAGCTCTCGCCGTTGCCGGTCACTTACGAGGCAACCAACTTGACCGGTTGATAGCCGACGAGTTCGACATCGTTGGATTCTTTGGATTAACTTTGGAGAGGTCGAGCTGGCATTTCTGAGATATCGGCTTGTACTCAAACTTCCGCTAGTTCTCTTCTTTATACCTTCGCTCGTGAATGCCGTGTAAATACGACTCGAGAGGATGGTCGTTTACTTGCGAAAGACGTGTATATACGACCGGTAAGTATGGCTTATTACTAGGGGTTTCTATTAAACGAAGTGCACTTGGCAATGTTGAATAAAAAAAGAAATGATTTATTAAATTTCTTGCTTTATTTCTGCAAGTGTGTTTGTTATTTTTGAACTGCTTCAATATTTTTGCAAGTGGAATTCTGAGCGCAGTTGCGGAGTACTGTTACCTTGCGCAGTTATGGAGTACAGTTAGGTCTTCGATTTACGATCTATACCTATGTGTTTGCATTTCGACTTAATTTCATCTGTTTTCCCTTTCGCGAAACTACTGTCATCAGAGTCCTAATTTCCCTAAAATGTTTGTCCGAGCAATTTGAAATCTGTCGTGAGAAATTCTTGCAAATTATCGTGCAAGCAACGTTTGCGAAACCCGCAAACGAGGAACGCAAACAATGAAGTACCCTTCAGGTTCGAAAAACGAAGAGGGAAAAAAATATAAATAAAAAGAGCTCTCTGCCATTTCAACCTGTCCGGATCTCTTTGGATCCCAACATCGTGTGCAATCCCACGAGTACATAAATATCTGCCTAGCATATTGAACGGTCATATTTCATGGGGGGCAAAAAAAGCGAACGTCCCTTGGAAATTCAACGTCTCAATCCGTCTCTGGGATCTCGTCAATATTCCGAGCGGTCAATTAAGGCATGCCTCCCAGATGTCCCTTTCTGATCCTGCACGTACACGTCCATAGAATCGTCCATGCTGGTGGTATTACATACGAAGTGATCTTACGCGTTTATGTTTCCACCGTGTTCCCTTACGATTTTACTTGTTCGACGTACCCTCGAGCGCTGCTCAAAATGGCGGACGGTTGCGGAAGAAATGGATTCTGCAGCCACCCAGAAATTTGTAGTTTCACTTAAATTGATAGGTCATTTGGTCAGTTGCGTTTAATATTTCGAAATAGTTGGAGAACAAGATTTGAGAGTACAATTTACAGGAAATCGATTTTTTGGAGTTTAGTCACTTGTGGCGGGAAGTTTAAATTGTTTTGGAGGTTAGGTTTATAGATCCTGGATATCTGTGCTTAAACCTTGATATTTTTTTAAATTTATGGTTACAATGCTACAATGACAATTTCTTTTTTTTAACAATAAGTTATTATTTCAACTATGTGAACAAGTTCAATATTTACACTCTTGGTTCAATTTTTTGATAAAGCAAAAGTAAAAGCTTAACGTATGTGGATTATTCTTGTTTACAAAAGATGCATATATTTGTCAGCAAAAATATATTAACATCATCAAGCAATATTTAAAATTGAACAGCGATTTGCGACATCAAACAGCAAAATAACAACCAAAAAATAAATTAAATTACAAATTTACAAAATTTATACAGAATGTTAAGTGTTCGATAAAGTGACAGAGTACCGGTTGGATGACATAAAAGATGTTAATTCAAACATCCAGCTCATTTCCTGTATATTCATTGAATATCAGTAGGATTATAAACATCGCGAGGAGACGGTGTCATTAGTGGACACATGTTCCATGGCGGGACGATAACCAGGGATTTAACGGGTTTTGCGGAAGATCGACGGCGTATAAGGCGCCTACTTAAGTTAAAAGCTTAAGGCTCGAGCTGATAGAATTAATGCCCGTTGCTCAAAGGTGGACCGGCGCCGTAAAAACCGAGACACAAATTTCGTTAATGTAAAAACGAACGTGACTGAAAGCGGACGAAATCGATCGCGAGACGCAAAAACCGACTTCCATCGAGCGTGACTGTGACTGTGACCGGTTTTTATCGCCGTTGAAAATGATGTCTTTGTTCGTAGCTGTGTTCGGGGTGGAGGAAACAATTAGGAAAGATCTATAATTGGCAGCAAAATTAATGAAGTATCATTAAAATATTTGGTAACTTGGTTTACAAACTTGGTTACAAGTTTATTGTAACTTAAGGGAGAATAACTTTACAGAATTTTGTTTTGAGTCATTTTGAAGAAGGAAGATTTTAATTTTATGGGGTTACATTTAGTACGAAATTTAATTTTGAATTTAAGGAAAAAGAAATATTTTTGTATGCAGAGATGTTTTTATAAAAGTGAAAAAGGGGTCCTTCTCAAGAATGATAAAATCTTAAAAAATTAATCTACATTGTAAATGCTATATTGTAAAATAAAATTGCTTATTTTATAATAGAACAAAACTTCATATGACAGTACTTCATTATTAATATTTAACCCTAATAGTCTCCTTCGCACCCAACTCACCCTATGATGCTTACAAAGCACCCATAGCACCTACACGTTCCAAAAAGAATTAAGATATTCCATTTTAATAATTCGTCACACCAATCACCACAAACGTTTCAATCTCAAAATGTATTTCCCCCACGCTTATCGTAGACAGGCAAATCCACGGTGTTAATTGACGCTTCATTCCGAATCGCGATACCCTCTAAAAGCTCAGAATGATAAAGTGCAATGATTAATTCGCAACGGCAGCGAAATATCGTGTCTCGATTGAATATCGTTCAGCAATAACGTCGAACGTATCTTCCCGCTCGGCCGGGCGGATAAAAAATGATCGAATGAAATCGAGGCTGTGCAGAGGCGACACGACGTAAGTTACCGTTCCCTAATGGCCACGAAAGTATCAAGCTCCTCTTATCGTGTTAATGGAAACCTTTATGGAGACCACTTTAGGTGATATCTTTCGAAATTGCGGCGCTCCATGGGATCCTGGGTGGCTATCTGTTTGACGAGCCGCGTCTTTGCGTACCGCACTCTTTTTAACTCGAGCATTCGATGAAAATCTTTTCCCCGGTTCACTTCGTTTCACTTATTTAATTATGGGGTAAAACGTGCTCTAGGAACGGTTCAGATCCCATAAAGTCAGATTTGTGGATTTGCGACGAGGTTCAGATCACGTAAAGACCTTAGCTTTGGATGTGAAACTGTGCACATGTGTCTGAAACTGTCACGTGTGGCTTAGGCTGCCAAATGTGATAACTTTTCGAGATTCCACTGCTTTTTCGGGACAAATCTGATGGTTATCGATGGTCATATATCAGAAAGAGGATACAAGATCTCCATTGCTCAACTTTTGACGAATCGTCTGAAGATTACGATGTAACCGAATGATCATGTATCAGAAAGTCCAGGAAAAGGGTCCAGAAGGGCAATAAAAGTAAACAGGAAGGTCTTGACAGGCGGGCAGGAATGTCGATGTGGGTCAAGCATCAACATCACGAGCCACGATCAAGGAATCCTGTTGTTACACGCGAGTGCACCTACACGTTACCGAAAGCAGCGGCGTAAACATTTCCTCCTAGCGAGAGCGAGTTCGAACGAGGCGGGATTTAAAGAGTTTCCTCCGGCTTCGAGTGGGAAGAACGGTACTTTCCAGGTTCTTCGAGGTAAAAGGGCTCCCTCTTCTTGGCTAGGCGACCAGCCACCCACGCGGCCGTAAAGTTGGCGCAACGCTTTGCTTTCTACTTTTCTAAGCAATGATGTACGCGTGACTAGAAAGAACTCTCACCAGAAGAGGCTCGAGTACCATCTTGATTTAAAGCTAATTTTACACGGTGTTAGGGAACATTGGAAGGATTTTTTACTTCAATACTTGATGATGAGTTAAGTGTGGTACTTCATTAGATGTTTCACAAGCTTTAGAATTAGATATTTCATAATTTATTTCAGGAAAAATACTTGTCATAAATTGTGTACTGTAAATGCTTCATAACATAATTAGAAACTCGTGAGTGATTTCATATACTGATTCATACATCAATTTACTAATATATGATTGTAACTTCTCTCGTCATCAATAAGACTCTATCATCACGTAGAGTTAAAGGCAAAGTTGCATTTGGAATGTTGTAATTGATCGCTGTATTAAATGAATCTTAAAAGAAATTGCGAGTATGTGGTTTTTTATTTTACGATCGAAACGCTTACGCTTCATATTCCCAGGCTAATATATCTAATAGCGATGGGTGATTTCACCCCTCAACTATGAGCATCGACATAAAAAAATATAGTCTATACACCTGTAAAGTTTTATGATAACCTTGATGAATCATACACTGTTTCATCAGAGTTTCTCGAACATAACCTTACTTTTAAGATTTATAGGTTATGTTACTTTCTGTACAGAAACTTGCAAAGAAACTATCTCAAGTGTTCTCAGACTTTAATGTACTTTTGCGTGTTGATAGATCATTTCAAGGATCAACATGAAATATCATTTAAACAATGTAATATAAACTAAATTATATAATGTAATGTAATGTAAATTAAATTATATAATGTAATTTAATGTAGACTACATTAGGAATCATGTATAACTAAATTTATACACAAAATGATGTATCGATGCAGAAGTAAATTAAAATTTGAGAAGAATTGAATTTGAGATGATTTCCTTGGGTTTAAACTCACTTTTCCCTTTGACAAACTCGGAGTTGAGGTCCGCTGACACATCGTAGCTACCGGCGACGATCAGTAGAAGAAATGTCACGCCGAAGAGGTTGCAGGTCGACAGCGTTCGTGGGCCGTGTCGGTGTTCGAACATGATGAGCTCTCATGCCCTTCTAGAACCCATGGACCTTGCCAAGGTGATCTCGACAATGATTCCCGCTTCTTCGTGCTCCCTTCGACTGTCACGAGCAAGCAGAAGATCGGAAGAACCCTGAAGATGCGTTTCCGCTGCTGCCATAGCTGTCTGTTCACCGTGTTCCTTGCATGATTCTTCCCATGAGCCTTCACATCTGAAATTATAATGGTACATCGTTAAAAACTATCATTCATTTCTTTAAGTATACGATGAGTCTATTGCTTAATGTGAAATTTTTGCACTTTGAGACTTTTATAAATTTTCATATCTTAAACTCTTGTAATTAGTTCCATTCAAAGTTAGGCATAAAACATTGGTTATCCTAATATTCTACGAAGAACATATTTATCTAAGGACGTAATCAAATATGTATCAAATATGTAACAAAATATGTAGTAAGAATAGTGTCAAAAATAAGACTTGTTGGAAATAAAACTGCGTTCAGAATATTCGACGAGTCTAAGGTCTAACGTTACTCCACAATCTTATGAAATATTAATATTTCCCGTGGTTTCTACCAAACTTCTCACAGTTCTGTATCACACGTGTTCCCATGGATCCGCCAGGATCGATTCCCATACTCGGTCCGCTCGATTTGGAAATAGAGCATCCGATCGCGAAAAAACTATTCGCCTTTTACGCAGGCAATTGTTTTGTCGTCGCCTCAGCTCGGGTCTCGGATTGTTCGGAACAGATTCAAAGAAGACCACGAAGAAGCTAACAGCGAGTAAGAAGAGTAAGCAGGATAAAAGAGAAGAGAGAACTCAGAGACAATACGGCAAACAGCAGGTGTCTGCTCTTCCCTCCACCCTTTTCTCGCTCCTTTTCCCTCCTCCTTCATCTTCGAAGGCACGATCTCATCCCGAAGGGCCTCACGGCTATTTCTTTGTTCTTTCGCACTCCCCGCGGAGTGGCGAACACGGGTTACCTTATTCGGCCGCGACGGCCAATGATCAGCTTAAACAAATGACGTCGACTAGGGTTTCGTCGGGTTCCTCCCTTCCGAGCAGCAGCCTGATTGCGTCTCGTCAGGCTCACCCCTTTCAGGTACTCGTCTATTAATTACGATCGCATCGTGCCGACACTTCAGGCTCCTGATGACCGGACACTCGATCGTGTCGATCGTGATTGTCCAACGTTCCTTCGTTCAATTCTCTTCGTCTTTGTACGAAGTCTACTACCCTTTTCTATCTCCCACCTCTGACAGTGGCTCGGTCGAACAGATAGTAGTCGAGGTACCAGGCTGTCTGCCGGTGAGAAAGACGTGGGACGCTTTGCTGAGGAGCTTTCGAAACACGTACCCTCGTAACGATGGCTCGTACACATTAGAATAGAGAGGGTGGGGTCGGACATTTTTAAATTTCGATTGTTTTAGCAGGAGTTGCAATGCGTGTGTGGATCTTTATGTTGCGGTCATTTTTCTTGATATGTGGACATATGTGTTCGTTATAACAACCTTTTCTTTAATGTACCGAAATTGAGATAGTGAGACATTGAGACTTTGAGACACTGAGACATGAAGACATTGAGACATTAAGATACTGAGACATTCAGACATTGAGACATTGAGACATTTAGACATTTAGACATTAAGACATTGAGACATTGAGACACTGAGACACTGAGACACTGAGACATTGAGACATTGAGACATTGAGACATTTAGACATTCAGACACTGAGAGACTGAGACACTGAGACATTGAGACATTGAGACACTGAGACATTGAGACACTAAGACATTGAGAAATTGAAAAATTTGTACCCTTGGAACTAATGAAATTTGAGGATCTGAATATTTTTGAATTATCCAACTTTGGAACTTTAAAGAAATCTAAAAATATAGAAACTCGAAAGTGTCAGAATCTGTGAATCCAGATATCAGAAACTTAAAAAACTTGAAACCACCTAAATTCAAAAATGTCAAAACTTGCAAACTAAATAAAAATTTTCTAAATTCCACAAAAGTTCAAAAGAAATCTACCACAAAAGTGCTCATATATGAACACCTGAATGCGCCATAAATACTAATACCGATCCAATCAGACCTAATAATAGCCAATGAATTGACCACTGAATCGCCCTTCTAGCAATAAATAACAAAAGGCGATGGTGTAATTGTCTAAACGAGGTCAGAAATCGAGCTTCTATAGGCAATCGATCAAAACACGCTCGAACTCATTAAGAATCCTGACAAAACGTGCAATTAAGCGCTAATAATAATCTGTCCGTCTATTATCTATACGGTAACCCTCGAACCGGAACAACTTGAACCAAAACCGGTTCGTTCTTGGGTACTAATTCGTTCGTGTGATTTTTGCCAAAAGCGTCTTGTATCGACACTGGCAAATCCAGCTGAGAAACAGAAAGGACATTCCTGCAGGATCGGAGTGCAAAGACCCTGCTGCCACGCGACTTGTTTGATCGACCAACGTGTGCTCTTAATCCTTTCGTTGCAACATGTGTTATTACGGTTATTTCGAAATGATTCGTCATATTTGTGACAATCGACCGATCAATCAGTTTTATATCGGTGCTTAAACGAGTGACATCTAACAGAAACGTGTACTTCAGTTAAAAACTGTTTTAAATCTTTGTTACATTGTTTGTATATGTCATATAGTACATGAAGTGATGTGCTAGACAATTTTTTTATTTTATCAAGCATTGAGGACAAGTTTTATAGTAAATAGAAAAAATTGTTAAAAACATTTGTTATTTTTTTTAGTTATAATTCTTTGTTATACCTGTCTAAGAGTATGTAATATTATTTTGTGACAACTTCATAATATTATTTTGAAACAGTGTTATAATATATGAAACTAATTTTGTAATATTCCTTTGCAATAAATTTCTTGAATAGAAAATGTCTTACTTACATAAATTGTCTGCTTCTATAAAATATTTTGTATATTAGCGTACAGAAGTATAAATTGAGACCATCGCGTATGAAAGGGCCACAAACAAAATTCCGCATACGTTAAAAAGTGATAGTTCTCGAGTTTCTAAAATATGAAAACAAGATACCAGAAGGCAGTCGTAAAACCAAGATAAAAATCCGTAAAAATTTCCAGAAGTTAGAACTATCGTTTGCCACTCGAGGCGAAAGATAGCTTCGACGCAATCAGTTCGTGACAACGCAATAAATAATACCACGCAATTTTCCAGCACGACGGCGTCGCGTTAAGTATCGCTTACATGGAAGTAGCTACAAAGGTATCGTTTCTAATTACACGTTCGTTATTTGTCCAGTGACAGCGCAGAAGGCGGCTGAATGCGCGATTCCGTTTCGCCATGAGGTCGTTATCGCTGGATGACATCGAAAGAATCGGAATCGATAAAATTTCTCTCTTTTCCCTCTCGAATCGAACAAAGTGCATTTATCATTGTTACATCGACCGAATTGACACGTCGATCCTTTTTCGCGGTGACTAATCGATTGGGGTGCGCCTGCCTGTGCTCTCGTTAACTTGTCTTCGAAGCCTTGATTCGCGCTTGTAGCCACGACAGCGAATGGAAATGCACGTGGCCGTGTATCACGATATCGCGAGCCTTTCTCTTGTAATTACTTCGAGGAGAAAAGGGCTTGATATATTGCCCCGAATTTTGACGTTTGCTTGTTCACCGCGAGAAATTATTCGCTCGGCCGGTGAAACTGCTTGATGGAAATGCGTTTGTTCTTTAAAACGCCATGGAATAGAAAGCGACATTCATCTTACATTTTTACAAACGTTTTACAACGTTCTAGTTTTCAGTGAACTATTTTTTTTACCGATACTGGGGGGTGAAATCATCCCTCAAAATTATCCGAATTATTCTTTTAATATGAATTTTAATATTCTTTTAATATGAACGTGGAGCAAATTTATTTTGCTTATGAATCAAATTTTTCTTTTCTTTAAATAAAGTAATTTAGTTAGTCCCGTTGTTAAATAATTTAATGGCCGACCATGACATACCACATCAATTTTTTCAATTGTACAAACTAATAATAAATTTTCCCCAACAACAATAACAGTCAACACGTTAAATTTGCAATTAATTCTATTATTACAGTTGCAAGAAACTGACACGATAATAAAATCATATTCGTCCATTTGAACAATCTTCCGCCATTTAAGTCCTTTGTAGGTTATGCACACACAATTAAGGATGATTGATTTTCGTTAAAAGCCTCATCAATTATATGTAAATGTACAAGTTTGAAAGGGTATGAATTAGTGTCGACTGTATTAATATTTAAACGATAAGGCATTATTAAGTTCCTCGCAATCTCGTCTGACACGAAGAGAAATTCAGTAAACACCGATGATATGCAGACTGACATCAGACATGTGGACATCACGTAGGCTGTTTGCGAACTGGTATCGTTCGTACGGCTGTTTTATTAATGTCAACGAGGAGAGATTAAGAGGCGTGGTTCTCAGACTTGCCAAAATAAAGATATTACGGCCGAGATAAGTCGCTCAGACACTGCGGAGTTACACTTACGTCATGCGAGTCAGTTTTGTAAAGAGACATACGCACTAGAATGTTCCGTGTAGTTAAAGAAATTTTGTAACAAATCTCATGTCTTGCTATTTCTTAAATTTTTATTTAAGTTCTTTCTTATTCAGCAAAACTTTTTTATTTTTATTCTAGTTGAATTTACTGTAACTCAAACCTAACCTAAAACACCTAAATTGTATTATTCCTTACATATAAGTTTGTGCTCAAATGTACATCGAAACAAATATATTCTGTTAAATAAACTAGTTATATCAGCTTTGTTTTTGTGACAGTAATTTCGTAAATAAAATTGTCAAGTAATCGACTTCCTCAATTTTCCTCAAACTTCCTACACCAACGTTGAAGCAGTTGCTCAAACATAACATAATTTGAACTACAAAAGACATAGGTTTTCCGACTATCTTCCTCCAAATTGATCATATCAGCATTATCGATAAGATACAATCGTGACGTCCCTGTCATCGATAACCGTCGATAAGAAAAGGGCGAGGCTATGGTAACCTCAAAGGTGAAAAAGGTTCCTCGGATAAAAAGACGGGAATTTTCTTTGACTGATTCACGGAGAAAAGAATCCGTGGAGAAACTTGGTCGGAGTGCCACGGATGCCGGAGCGAAGTTCGCAAAATGACAAGGGAAGAAAAAAAGG